AAAAAAAAAAAAAAAAAAAAAAAAAAAAACCCGAAAAATTAAATACTTAAGAATTAACCTATGCCAGGCATGATAGTGCACACCTATAATCTAAGCACTTCAGAGGCTAAAGGCACGAAGATCTCCACAAGTTTAAAGCCAGCTTGGGATACACAGTGAATTCAAGGCCAGTCTAAGGTCACAGAAAGACCCTATCTCAAAAGAAGGCAAAAACAAAAAGAAAAAGAAGAAAAATAAATCTAACAAAGGAAGTGCTGTTTTTCTACAACAAAAACTATAGGACTATGAAAAAGGATATTAAAGAGAACATCAGAAAATGGAAAAAGAAAAAGGTATCCCATTCCTGGATAATCAGAAGCAATATTGTCAAAATGCCCATACATCCAAAACTGATACAGAGATTTCACATAATCCCAATAAAAATACCAATAGCATTCTCCTCATGGAACTACAGAAAATAATCCTAAAATCTGTATGGTACCAGAAGAGCAAAACCAATCCTGTATTACAAAAGCAAAGCAGGTGGCACCACAATCCTGGATTTCAAGTTATATTACAAAGCCAATGACAAAAACAGCATGGTACTGGCACAAAAACTGATATGTGGACCAAAGGAACAGACTGGAACAGTGATGGAAAACCTTTTAGAAATTGTGTACTTATTTATCACAAAGTACTAACACTAAAACCTGAATCCTGAAGTTTAAGTTCAGAATAAACAACTGTTATCCAAAATCAGGTGTTGGGGTGATCTGGCTCATGTGCCAATAGAGAGGGTTCTGTGTACCTGCTGCAGCATGCATGCCATAGGTTCGCCATCACTGGATTAGGGGATGCAGAAGAAAACCCAGGCACAGTCAACTATCTGATCTTTGACAAAGGGGCAAAAAAACATAACACTGGAGAAACTGGGAATACTGGATATACATAGGCAGAAGTTTGAAGACAGCCACAGACCTTTCTCATCATGTGTTAAAATCAAAATAGATGAAAGACCTAAATATTAAAACAGACACAATTTTTCTGCTGGAAAATAAAATACATAAAACTCTGAAAGGAATAAGCAAGGACTTCTGAACAGAACCCAAATTATACAATAAGGGCTGGGGATTTAGCTCAGTGGTTCCGGTGCCTGCCCCAAATTATACAAGAAATAACATCAAGAATCAATAAATGGGGATTTAGCTTAGTGGTGCCACATGTGCCTCACAAGTGCAAGGTCCTGAGTTTGATGCCCCATACCAAAAAAAAAAAAAAAAAAA